ATCCATATTATCTTCCATCTTTAGTGTGTTCATGACAGTCGGAGTCTCGGTGCATCGCTATATCGGAGTATGTCATCCTTACAAATCAGTGGAATGGCTACCGAAGAAACGCGTCACGGCCTTCATCATCAGTCTCGTCGTCTTCAGCATCCTCTTCAATACCACACGCTTTTTTGAGGTTAGAAGACATTCATCATTTGGTTTCTCATTTTTGCAAAAGACTCACAGCAAAGATGAGTGGGCTAAGCATTGATATGGTCCCGTGTTCACAGTGTGGTTGCTACTTAACGCACGTTGAAGGAATAATCCGTGTGAAGAAAACTTTCTGGCGGGTTCACTTCTGGACTTGACATGAACTTCTTTTCCACAACCTTTCCAATTTTCTGACTCTTTCTCCACCTTTTACTAGTCGTACTTTTTTTATTACAAGCCTTTTTCTGAAATCTAATAACATAGGGGAAAGTATTAAGAAAAAACGGATCATTCCGGTACCTGGTCCCCTAGTAACATATCTTCATGCCTGATTCCCAATATAGTCCACCTGAGGAAGTCTGGAATGTCCAAGTCCACTTAAAGGCAAACTATGCACTCGAGGCAACGAACCTTGAGGGTAGTGATACAGGGTGCCCTCTCCAAATTTCGCCGGTGCTACCGCACCGCCAGCTGGACACCTGCCTAAGCATCGCCAAACGCGTTGCTTACCTGCGCTACCTCACGTCTAATTGTTATTTGCCTCTTACTGTGTGTTCACTACGAGCTTTCGGTACTGTTCGTGAGCACTGTTCGGCGACGAGTTGGGGGGGCATCTTGCACTTTCACTGCTGCACCAGTTCCTGTCAGTGGTTTCACGCTGGTAAAGCCTGTGAACTCTTGTTAAGCTAGAGTAGGCTCGTCGAGCTACCATGATAAAACCTGTCAACCCTTGTGAGCTCATGAAATAGCTCTCTGGTCAGTAGCAAAGTGCAAAATGCCCTCCTCCCGTCGCCGTGCGCCGTTGCCTCCCTTTTATGGTCATATCGTTTACCAGGAAGTCACATCAGTCATACAACTGTATTAGGAGGGTGTTTAGCTATACCGTAGTGACATCCTTCGTGTTGCTGGCTTCGGGTAAAAAGGAGCGAGAGGAAAACGGTGGCGTCAGGTGGCTATTCTGGCCACTGGTGCATGAGATCGCGACCACTGGGACGAAGCGGAGAAGCCTTTTTATGTCTTCGCAAAGGCTCCGCCTTCGCGCTCACGTGAATAGCGCGCGTTTTTGTGACAGTCGGCGCGAGTGAGGTTCAATCCATGAAAATGTTATGCGGTAATTCTAAATACTGCTACCTCTGTGTAGGTAAGAATAAGTAAGGTATCAAAAGTTCTTCCAAGCGGACCTGCGTCAATGGTGGATCGCGCGCTTAGGTGTGGTTGACATGTCTCCTTCGATAATTCATTTGATTCGCTCCCGGAGTCAACCTGAAGGCTATCGGACCAGTGTACGATTGCCGAACATGACAGTATCAGCTGACACAAGGTTAAGACGGCAACGTCACCCTTGGTGATACGATCGTGTACTCATAGGCGTGATACCGGTGTCACGTACTAGTATTCCTTGCTCAATACAAATTCGACTGCCTCGAAAACATCTCAGTGACGTATAAATAGTACGCGAAAACATCTCAGCAGCATATAAATAGCACGTGAAGTAATCCAGGGATTAGTGGGCATTGTACCATCCATTGCATTCATTGAATATCCTGGGAGAAACACTAGAATGGATACTGGAATAGTCCTCCTCTGCTAAATTTTCACAGCGCTGCTTTTTTATTCGACTGGAAATCGATACCGAGTTTCGCTTCGATAGGCAGACTTTTCAGCCTTATGGGTTTAGTTGTAGCGTAGTTCGCTGCGGACGGTTGGGCGTGTCAGGCGGGATGAGTTTGGCGCGGTGCCAAACCCGTTCTCCACCAGTTGTTAAAGCGAGCAATGATATGACTGTATCATATCGTTCGTATTACTCGTTTTCTACCACTTTTTGTCGCATGCGCGCTTCAACAAGGCAGAGAACGGCTTTGACGGGGTGACACACTCATACTGCCTGACATGCCAACCGTCCGCAACGAAATAGAGTATATACTGGCTTAGTCGCCCAGCGAAAATCGGTGGTTTACCGTATCAAAATCTCGGAAATTGGCTAATGTTTGTAGTCTACGGTCTCAATCAACAATAGTACAGAATCTGAGTGGAGGCATGAATTCTGCGTACCTGTGAAAGTGGTAGGCGCGGCCACGTGCTCTATTTAAACGTGGCTGTGGCTGCGCTTTAGGTGGGATATTCTCATTCTGAGACAATTACAGTCTTGACTTTCTCAACCAAGACAAAACTAGCAGCTTTCTACAATTGAAATATCGCCTACGGATAAGTTCATCTTACGCCATACGAAGCACTCGATACGCCTACTGCCGGGAAGGGATTGGGAGTGTATTTGCTCTGCGACGAGCATTCGTTCCTTTTCGGCGGATCTGATAAATTTGAAACATTCACCACCCAGTAAACTTAGGCGTAATCCTTGAAGACTAATTTATTTATAGGTCCACGTGTCCAATGTGTGCTATCGTCTCAACATCAACTACTATATGCCATCATTACAACCAACTGCCCTCCGGCTATCTGACTTATACAGGTATTTTTCACCATTTTTCTATAGGTTTTTCACTGTCTGTTGTGAAAAAATTGGGCGCAGTCCATGGCCATGGTGCTGATGCCTGCAAAGCATCGGCACGTGCTTGACGGTGACGTCCGCACTAGAGGCGTTCTCGCACGAACGTTTTGGGTGGGCGCAACTGTTCCACATGTCATATGCCCTCGAGGGTAGCCACTGATTGGAAATAGGCTGGTGACGGCCGAACTTACTACGTAAGCACCCTCTACCCGAGGCAGAACAGGTCTCTTCTTTATAAAATTTACTTTTCATTTCGTTCGCTTTTTAAGGGTTTACTATATATATGCTCTCATACTCTATATGATCACTAAATTTCCATGTTAATGTTAATTCCAGGAATATCTTCTTCGGATGGGCGTATACCATAGTGATGTATGTGGTACCATTCAGTCTGCTGATCGTCCTCAATTCCTTGGTTCTCTCAGCTGTAAGACGCAGTCGTCGAATGCATATGGTTAGTCAGGTGAGATCTGACGATTTTTCTTTACAACCCGTGACAGGTTAGGTATGGCTAGACCTAAACGTGCTTGTGCTGATATTAGGCGCGAAATAATATGTAATGTGGAAATTTGAAGAAGCACCGAGAAAAATTCATTGTAAAAGACTTCGAGGAGGAATCCAGAATTTTTTGCTGGATTATTTTACTAGTTTTAGACTAGTGAAATAGATCCAGCAAAAACTATAGAAAAACGAAAACATCCAAACAAAACAAAATAACTCTACGCTGGACATGGGAGTCTCTGGTGGGACAATTCCATAACGAGATCGACCACATCATCTGCAATCGAAGGTTTTGCCTGACCGATGTCGCTGTTGTGTCCCCAACGTTTACACGGATCCGACCAGAATCGTTCTTCTGGCAAGATTCCGCTTTTCGATGCGAGGAGAGAGAGCCGCAAAGTTCAAGAAGCGAAGCCCCAAGACCACCATCAACTGGGATCACTTCACTTCTCTCGCTAGGCTCTGGGAGGATTCTGTCATTGACAACATCGACGAGGAATACGAACGGCTTGTTGCACATCTTCACGACTGCGCCAAGAAGTCAGAGGGTTCCAAGATGACCAAGAAGCGTCTATCTCTGGAAACTCTCGAGCTGATTCCGCCAACGTGAGCCGCACCGAGCCGCAGGCAATTACCAGCTGACGTCTGAGCTTGCGAAGCTATGCAGAGAAGCGATAAAGGAAGACCTCAAGGAGAGAAGAGCAGCAGTACTGGTGGAAGCCGCAGAGAGGCTGGGAAGAGCGTACGCAACGCCCGCCGCGACTTCGCCAACTGTAAGACTAAGATGACCGCCCTCCGACGTCCGGATGGAACAATCACCGCATCCAGAAGGGCAATGGAGAAGGTCATCCACGACTTCTACTCGGATCTCTTTGACAGCCACGTCCACCTGCAACCATACCGCTTGGAGCAGGATGGATATGTCGTTCCTGCAGTTCTCTCTTCCGAAGTCCGACACTGTTCTATACACCCATGGCGTCGTTGCATGCCATCTCGTCGGTGAAGAATCGTACGGCACCCGGTCCCGACAGGATCAGACCCGAACATCTGAAGAATCTTCCGCCAGTTCTCGTCAAAACTCTGGCTCGACTCTTCACGCGCTACCTGTCGGAATGCAAGGTACCCACCTCGTGGAAAACCAGCAAGACTGTGTTGCTGTACAAGAAGGGAGACCTGTACGACATTGGCAATTATCGCCCAATCTGCCTGCTGTCTGTAGTCTACAAACTCTTCACACGAGTCATCCTGAATAGGATTGGCAGAACACTAGACGAAGGACAGCCATGCGAGCAAGCAGGGTTTCGAAGAGGATCAGCACGATCGATCACATCCACACGGTAACGAAGCTCATTGAAGTATCGCGAGAGTACAAGATGCCGTTATGTCTCACGTTTATCGACTTGAAGAAAGCCTTCGACTCCGTTGAGACAGAAGCGGTTATCGAAGCCCTGGGCAACCAGGGTATTCCTACTCAGTACATCAGGATTCTTCGTGAGCTCTACAGCAACTTCACGACCAAGATTTCACCATTCTACAAGGAGATCATCATTGATGTGAAGAGAGGGGTCCGACAGGGCGACACCATCTCGCCCAAGCTCTTCAGCGCCTCTCTCGAGAACGTCATGCGTCAACTGGAATGGGAAGACATGGGAGTGAAGATCGACGGTCGGCAACTACACCATCTCCGCTTTGCTGACGACATCGTTTTGATAACGCCAAACATCGAGCAAGCGGAACGAATGCTGGCTGAATTCGACTGCGCGTGTGGAAGAATCGGTCTACGGCTGAACCTAACGAAGACGATGTTCATGAGAAACGGATTGGTATCTGATGCCCCATTCACGCTCAACGGAACGACCATCTCTGAATGCTCTAGCTATGTGTACCTAGGTCGTGAAATCAATATGATGAATGACCTAGCTCCAGAGCTGAGCAGGAGGAAGCGAGCGGCTTGGGGAGCCTTCAAGAACATCGAGGGAGTAGCGAAGAAGACGAAGAACACCAAGCTCCGTGCCCACCTCTTCGATTCCGCGGTCCTTCCTGCCTTGACGTACGCCTCAGAGACTTGGACTCTACGAAAGCAGGATGAGCATGCGGTCGGCGTTATTCAACGCGCCATCGAAAGGGCGATGCTCGGAGTTTCCCGCTACACGCAAGTGAGAGAGGGAATCCGGAGCTCCGCACTCCGCCAACGATCGAAGATCAGAGACGCAGAGATCGCGCCGCCGCGTTTGCCAAGGCTTCGAAGATCAGGTGGGCCGGACACGTCATGCGTTTCGAGGACGACCGCTGGACCAGAGCAGTCACCGACTGGATTCCACGGGATGTCAAGCGAACGCCTGGACGACCGCCTATGCGATGGTCAGACTTCTTCGTGAAAGCTCTGAACGAATGGTATGAAGTTCATCGTGTCCCTCGAGCTGAGAGAGTTCATTGGGCAACTCTTGCACGTTGCAGGGACGAATGGAGACGTTACTGGCGCCCGCTCGAGGAACTCGATGATCAACGGGAGCACAGGTGATACAGGTGATTTTTTAACTATTTATAGAATAATACGTTGTCTAGTTGATTAATTTGCGCTAAAGCTTCCGATCCTTCGTTGGATCTCTGGAAATCTTTTGCAATTAAAAATTTCCGTATCCTTATGTTTTCACATCTAGATTCGAATGAGGCTCACGGGTGGCACAATTCTACGAAGATTCACTTTTATCCCATATGAGTAACCGCTCTAGACCCTGACCCTCACTCATGTATACAAAACTCAAAACTACAAGTCAAAGTCGTGATTACGACCCTACAGAAACGGCAAATCATTGACAGGCATGCCCCGATATTGTCCTTGTTCTTTGTCCTTCCAGTTACGTCAAGTACAGTGCTGTTGCACAGGAGCCCTTTTGTGGCCCACAATCGACTTTCACAAAATGGACTCCTACAAACTGCGTATGGCACATCATCGTTGCCCATATCCCAAGGGAGGCGAAGGACCTTCATTTCGCCTCGAGAAAAGATTTTTTCCACAACGTAGTTGCTTTTTCCGTTTTATGCGCGCTGTATACCTTTCACTTGAATTGCTGGCAGGACAGAATTTCTACTTCTGACGTTGATCTGGGCTGCCTACTCTCCTCCTGAGGCCTCGATGGCAAGAATCCTGACTAAACTCAGAACCTAGGGAGATGGTATGTAGGCTGTGAAAAGGCGCCGGCACCGAGACGATCCACTTTGGGTGGAGACATCTTACTGACACAACATTCCGTAAATTGCGATGGCATGCCCCGCCTACAAAGGCCGCTTTTGTCGTCAGTGCACTGCGCACATTTTGCCTATCTTTGGCAGCTGTGCCAGCTTTTTTCATGCAACGCACTCCCGAGCCTAATACAGGACGAATTTCGGTACCAGTAACTGGCAAATAATACGAAACCCGTGACACACGGTCGCTTGGCATAGGCGTCGATGAGTGAATCTTCTAAAATAATGACAAGTCTTCTTGGTAGGCTGGGGTCTTTATACCACCAACGACCTAATGTCAGTCAACCTCCTTTGTGGGCGCGACATCTCGCACAAACTATATACATTAGCGTTTGTTAGCGAGTTTCCCCGATTTTCCTAGGTTAAGCGTGTATTGTACGGGGAATTGAAGACCATCGACATCGAGTGGCTTTGGGGATAAAGTGCTACGCCGAATGAACCAGCCAGGAACGCTGGACACGCGCGATGATTCAGATATTCTCAACTACGCCCACGTTGAGGGGAGCAAAGCTATGAGTACAGCTTTTGTTGCTTTCTCTATTTTCACTCACTGATTAACGCATCAAATTGGCAACTAACTTCCACAAATTGATTGACAGCGTGTGTTATGAAATGCCAGGCAGTTTCTTGTGGTAATGGCTGAAGTTTAAATTCGTTTCGTATTGACGATGGTTTGCGCAATTGGCTCACCATGTCCGACGTCAGTCGGCAAGACTCAAGCTTTACACAACGATTCACACAAGCTAGAGGCTGTTCATAGCGAGGCAGGGTTCGCACTCAAGTAATTGCGATATTTCCGATTGATTCGATACAAGAAATGCAGGTCGTTTCAGACACCCTTTGAATTGCTACATAGTACTTCCTCAAGACTGTAGTTGAACAGTTTAAAGGCGATATAAGATAATATAATCCATGGAGTAGCACACACAGCCTTCAGGGTATTCGACCTCCATGAAAGGCAATCACATGAAAGCTGAGATATTGGCAAAGTAGGACCCGGGACGGCATTCGAACCCGCATCTCCCGCTTACCAGGCGGTTGCATTAATCAATTTGCTACCGGAGCTACTCCGCCTTCTCACCTGTCAGGTCAATGGCACTTTTGTACGCAAATAGCCTTAAAGCGCAACCTACACAACCACAAATATATCAACGATCGACCAGCCCGATCTCTACCGAGTGAACAGTACCTGAAGCAGCCTCTTGCATATTTAAGCCCCGTTACGCACAGGGCAGCTGAAACCTACGGTATATTGGACGCAGTTCGCTTAATGGGCAGCAATGGTTCTTTGGCGAACGCTAGTTATGGCCTCCTTGTACAAAGACCCTGTGAAAAATCCCGCTCACCCAGCATTTTGCACGCTTCATAGGAGTTTTCGAGTCCTGCCAAAGTGTAACGTGCTGATCAACATGAACTAGAAATGGGAACCAGCGGAAGAGCAGAATGCCCTTCCCAAGCCGAACTGCGCCCAGATTAGTGCTTTTCTCTTGAGCTAGTTTAGATATACATAACAACTTCGCCTGTGCCAGACAATAAGCTTCATATTTGATATGGAGCACACTAGACCGCATGTCCTACTCCCTCTGTTTTGGATGAAAATGAGTAAGGTCCTAGCCCTTATTGATCCTATTTCGGAAGCGCTATGCTTGTATTCTATTGTATTCATAGTCTCTCAATGACTTACTCATAAGGCCTACGGCCTATGCACTGACTTGTGATAAAAATCGGTACAAGTCTGTGGTTATTGTCCAAGACGAATCTGATACCAGTTCTGCCGTCTCTGGAGGATAGGGGGCTTTGTTGTCATAGGCGAGAGCCGATCCATGATCTGATCATCGCGCGAACGACAAGAGTGTTACCACAGCACCACCACCTACTCTGCTTGAACATGGATGTCAAATATGGTACTGATATTTGCGCAGTGGGTTAACAATCGATGCTGCAGTAAAACTGTTATAAATCTGTACACATTGACTTCATGTCCTTCAGTTCTTCCAGTAGTGTAAAATCATAGGTGTGAAAAGAACGTTCTTCATCTACCTTTATTGAGGCGCTTATGGGTTATGACATTGGGTGAACGACAGAAATTGCCGCTGTTAAATATCAATTGAGCAGAATTAGCTCATGAACAAGCGCTCGTTCATCAAAAAGTACAAAGTAGAGTCAAGTAAAAACTGGCTACGCAAGTACTTTACGTCATATAGAATGTTTAGAACAAGTCTAAAGTTTGACATGAGCAATTGCCGTCTGTGAAATAAAGGTAGGGAACATTTTCAAGGGAGCATGACACTTCATTTTTAGTGTGGAGCCGAAAATGACGAATTCTCGAAGAAAGCCGAACGAAAAGAGCGACAGACGTCCATCATGCTTATCGCTATCGTGCTGCTCTTCATCTCATGTAATACGCTGGCTTTCGTTTGCAATATAATGGAGAATTTAGACGAAGTGAGTTGGCGAATTTCCAAAAAAAAAGTTCATAGATGTAGTATTTGCTAACCCACTGAGGAGTAGGGAGGGGAGGGAAGGGAAGGGAGAGGAAGGGGAACCCTTCTGAATCGACGACAGTCAAATATTAATATTTTATGTTTTCCACAAAGCTGGGTTTTGTAGAGCGCAGATTCCGCTCCACCTAGGTTGACGATGCTGGCACCCTCTTTCGTCCGAACGCAAACATGATCTCTCTCACTGAGGAATCCCTAAGGATGGTTTGAACCGACTTGGACGGATCCGCCCTTTTGCATGACGGCTTCTCTCTCTGAATGGGAGGAAGAATGGGTACATCAAGCACGGCGGGCCTTGCCATGTGGCTTGGCCCATTCGGTCAGCGCGCAGTAGGCATTTAAAAGTCCTAAGGATAGAATGTTCGTCGCTGATCAATCCCTTTGTGGGATGGGGTATGCATCTTTCTTCCATTCAGATCGCACATATTTGTTGAATGCCATGTGGCCTATGTACCTGCGGGGGCCAGCCGATGCACAATTCCTATCCTGTTATTGTGTTATCCTCCCAGACCAATCTTCTACCAAATAATCATCCTGCTTAGGGTAGAGGGCTTGGTTGGCTTGGGCAGGAGCCGATCCAGGATTTGATCCCCGGACCGCGCGTTTGGTATGCGTGCCACTTGCCTATACCACCTCTATCAGTGTGCATTTATTAATGTGAGAACATGTGATTAGCTGGAAGTTATATCGTTATTAATTCCAGGTAGGACCAGTCTATCAAAGTATGGTGACGTTCAACAACCTTCTCGTGAGTGTTTCCATTTGGATTTATAGATTCACTGTTCGTCACCCTTATTTCCTCAACCTCGTTCGTTTATCGATTGATTTCGCTGCTGTCCTTAATTTTAAAGATTTTTTCCTATGAACTATTAGATCTGTTCAAGGTTATGGTCAACGCTTCGTGTAACATATGCGTCTACATGCTGTTCTCTGAGAAATACCGTATGCTGCTGCGACATTACGTATGTTGCGATTGGTCACGACAAGGCGAAATGCTTATTAGTTCAGTGGCTGGATGATCATCGCTGTCATTGATGACTGGCGTTAATATTTTTAGTCATTTGTGTATAGATAGAGATATCGTTGTGTCCTCATCGTTGCCAATGTGTCTCTCAGCCAAATCGTCCAGCCTTGTCTACGGGTTACTTGAATTCGGCTTCTTTTTTTCGTCGATGTCGCGGAAGAATTATGTTTTCCTGTTCAAAGCGCTTTTCTCTTTTCATATTTTTATATGTATTATTATATACGCGCATGTGCATTTATAGTGTGATACCCTTGAGATCGGCATTTTATCATAAGAATTTCTTTACTTGGAACAGTAAACGACGAAATGGCCTGCTACTGCTTTCAACATCAGTTTTTCGAATGGTCTTTGCGAATGATTATAATTTGAGTTGAGAAATGTATTTGATCGTGTGATTTGCCTTCTCGGGTTTTCTCTAAAGCATACATATTTTTCGTTTGTTTTCAAAGCAGTTTAAATTTGGAGTGAATCTAATAAATATGTCGGAATATAAGAGATTTAGCACAGCTTCAACAATCAGGCTCGGATTGAAATGGCAGTGCGAGATGTGGCGGTAGTGGCAAAGCATGGACAGCTCTAAAACGTAGTTGACGGTCTAGTTGTAGACCAGAAATGTACGAGCAATAGGGAGCGTAGCAAGTCCCCCGGTCAGGTCATCCAGTCACTCTGGGTTTTTCTTACTTCTTGAATTATCAATCGTTCTGTGGGTTCGCTTCGAGGGTGTCGTTTCCACCTTTCGAAAGTCTTATGTTCTGAAATTTCCGACGCTTTTGGCTATAGATCTCGAAATTCGGTTGGCTCAATAACATTCACTGAGATCAGGGCACATCGTTGTTGGGGAATCCCCAATAGGGGGGGGTCGTATTTGGGCTGGGAAAAATTTATTTTGATAGTTGATTTTTCTCGCTTCATGGACGTTGTAAAGGGGGGTCGTACTTGGTCATTTTGGGAGGGAGGGGGGTCGTATTTTACGTTGAAAAAATTTATTTTGATAGTTGATTTTTCTCGCTTCATGGACGTTGTAAAGGGGGGT